GTTTTAAAAGCCCATTTTCAAGTGATTAGAAAAGCATGCATGCATCCCTGCCACCCATGAGCTTACATTGCATTCTGCTTTTCAGCAAAATTGTACGCTATAAGAATAGGGCAACTTGCTGCTGCATACAACCCTAGCAGCAGTGCGTTACAACAGCTTATGAAGAAATGATAAACCTGTTTGGAAATTTTTGCTGCGAAGGGCACTTTCCAGTAGGCTTATTTTTTCTAATAATTTTGTATTTTGAGCCCTCAGCATATATATTCACTTCTTTCAGAAGCTCTTTCTCTGTTCTTTTTTTCAGCATCAGCAAACAGCAGGCCTCCCTGCTGCTTCTTAAAACGGTTGCTGACGTGCTTTGTCTTCTGCTTAACAGCAGCTTGACGTCGTGTTTCTTACAACTGCAGACAACCCAACACACAAATTTCACTGCAAGTTCACAAGCACAAACAGGGCGTATATCCGCACAAGCAAAAATAATTTTAAACCAGTCAATTGTACAAAAAATTGTGACTAAGCTGCGCTGATACTATGATAGAATAAAATAAAATAGCTCTTCAGCATATTGCAACTTTACTACCGCCTTCAATACGACGTTCCGGCGCCCACGCAGTAGTGGAGCAGCGATGCTCTGATATATTTGCTAAGGGGGCGGGGAGTATATCAGAGCATTGGTGATTCATGTGTGACATGGCACCACAAGCAGAGCAAAATTGGCTGTCGATTATAATAGCGCCACAGTAGCACATCAGCCGCAATGTCAACGATAGCCAAACTTGGCTGTCGGTAATAATTACGCTGCAAGTAGCATATCAGCTGCAGAGTGACCAATTGTAACTTACTTTTCAAACGACTCATTGTCCACTCCATTTGAACTGCAGCTATTGGAGGAGTCGCAATCGAGTCTGCGGAATGGATGGTTGTTTTTCTGTTGCATTCTTTGCATCATCCTCAGTGCCTAAGAAAATATGACCAGTAAATAACTTCAGAATGACTGCTTCCTCCTCTTCGTTTTCGTATTGGGAATACAAGAGGCGCGGACTTACCATAAAGCTTAATCACTTGAGCGTGATACTGGCCGCAGTGTGTGTTATCCTTCCAGAACACCCGGTACCACCTGTGAGGGTCAAAATTGCCCGTATCCTTCGGATTGATGTACTTACATGCACTTACGGGACTATTAATATTTAATTATCATCACGAAACCAAACATCTTGGACAGTTGCGAGTGTACAGGTGCGATACTGAGCAATTAAGAGACGCAACAATGTTCACATGCGCGACACATGCACCAAGGCCGCCACGAACTTGCTATTGATGATGATGGCAGTGACATTTGTGGATCTCCAAACTGGTAGGTGTTCTGTGGATCTCCCGAGTAGTTTATGCAACAACGAGTCCACGACTTCTTCCTCAACACAACGCAATTTAGTTTCTGAAAACAAAAATATTTATTTGCAAAAAAACATTTACTTCATGTTTTTACAACTTTAGAGGGTAGTTTTTTTAGAGCTCACAGCAAATAATATATAAATAATGAACACAGCTACTGTAAAATGGTGACGCTGTGCATAGTCTCCGAGATGGCAAACGCGCAATGACGGGCGCGCAGCGGCAATTTCAGAGGTCATGCGCTGTGTCGCCATATTCGCGTTGGTTAGGCTAGGTGGCGCTAGCCGCCACCCAATTTAAAGGGTACAGCCATATCAATCCATTCATCCATCCATCTATCACATCATTATGGCTACAATCATTTAGCCATAATGGCAGTCAGCGACCACCATGACGACCACCTTCCTCCGTGGCGACCACAGTACAATACACCTTAAGCACGCAAGGTGTTCTGTAGGGTTTCTACCTAATGCTGTGATCTCGCGGCACATGTTATAGTTTTCGGCAAAATCCGCGACGCGTGCTTAACATTCAAGACACAGCAAGCAGGTTATGAATGTAAAGCCTTGGTCGATGTAATCCATCTTTACCCGTTCACGTATTATCAGTCCCGCAGCCTCACTTTGCGTGGACACCATCAAGCGCGCTATTTGAAGTTTGTGTCAAGCTCGACGAGAGGTGGATTCAACTCAACCCCAGCGTCGATTAAAAAGAAAAAAAAATCTATTTGGAGCCTGGATCGCAATATGTAGTACCTCGGACAAGGAGTGGTGGAGGCGCAGTCGGCCAACCAGCTACACTCAGCAAGAGCATTCCTCAGTCTTTAGCTGGTAATTGATGTTCTGGAGTAGCGGCCTTCAACACGCGAAGTCTGAGTGATGCACATGGTGACAGCAATGAAAATCCTGATCCCGACGACACTTACGGCTTCGAGGAAAACTTGCTCAGCGATTCCGACCGGACTGCAGATGCGGCTCGTGACAATGTTGCCATGAGCGACACTTTTTAAATGAAACAATGGCATGTATTTTACACTGGTGCATATCAATAAACTGCCAGGCTCTTGTGTGTGAGGCTTACATCAAAACTACTCAAGAACACATCTCACAGTGGTATTTGCTCAGAAACAAAGAAAAAAAGTTGTGCTTCTGCCGAAGGATGTGGCCAGTGTGTTTGCACATGAAAGTTGGATGAGTTTGCTATGTTGCTGACGTACCAAACTTGTTTAAAACTTGTGACATATATAGCCAGTCTAATATGAGTTTAGCAAGGTAGGACAACTAAATGTTGGCTTGATCCTTTCTATTGTTGTTCTCTTCACAACGGCACTTTTCTCATGGTAGGCAGTTCCTTGTGTGTGTCTGTGTGCGTTTTGCAGTCAAATGCTTTAGCCTTAATAAGTACATGGTTTTTGATTTATCAATCTTGTGAGGATTACAGGCAAGTAATATAGCAGGTCTGTGCCACCGCTTGGGCTTTTTGAAAAGACACGCCTGTGAATAACAGATGCTGCTATCAACATATCAGCCAAATCTTGGAGCTGCAAGTGACTTTTTTCATATATATGACTGTGCTCACTTTGAATTTTCGGATGCCTGTATGTGGTGTAAAACAACTGAAAGCATGCTATTGGCCTATAGCCAAAATAAATCAAGAGCAGGGTTTTAATCGAATGTGCTTCTTGCCGCAGTGTGCTGCCACATGCTGGCACTGCTGTCCAAAATCTTTTAACATTGCATAGTCACACTCACACATGGGAATGGCAACACGAAAAAGCTAATGTGTTTCTTCACGCATGCTCTAGCTCATAATGTGTGCTTACATATTGCACTTCTTTACTGCCATTCCTCCCTGTAGTTTTCGGTGCAGCTTGTTGGGACCGACGAGATAAAAAAGAAAGCGGTTGAAGTGCGCAGTAAACCCCTCACCTTGCTTTGAAACATTTCTGGCAGTGGATTTGCGAGGCATTAAGTTTTGATGATGAAGTCAATTAATGATTACTCATTGTTTCTTCAAAGTATCTTATCCAGTATGGGTTATGACACTAATGTAGTGGCTCGTCATTAAAGGCAAAGCACTATGTGGGAGAGACAGCTGGGGTTGGCTTGTGTTGTGAAAAGGAAAAACTGCAGCACCACCCAAGGCTTTCGCATCCACGCCGTTTGGAAAAATTATTTTATCAGCATGCTCATTTCACAGTAGTGGACTGATTATTAAGCTATCTCCCTTGGAATGTTCACTGGCCCTCTAAATTAAAGTTTAGAAATTATGTTAATATAGCTCTGTGATGAGAAGTTTTGTTTGTATCGTTTCAAGTTATGTTTATACTGTCATCTGATAAGCTTTGGATACTTGTATCTTGAAATTTTTAGATGTCATCTATCATTATCAGCATTAACTGTGTTGCTATCTGGCACCTGCAATCCCATTTGTATACAGAATAAAGCGTTCATCTAGGCTGAAAGCTGCTTTGCATATTTAAAGCTCTGTTTGTCAATTATGCACCACAATGAAACATTGTACATTTTATTCTATGCATCCAAAAGCTGCCAGTTGCACTCTTTGAGTCATCATAATATTTCACACAATGGTCGTCAAGTGTTCAATAGAAAACACTGATACACTAATATACATGCAGAAGTGATCAATTACATATATGTAGGCAGTGTGTTCAAAAAAAAGATCTACCGTTAAAATGACAGTAATTCATCTTATGAAGATCCAATAATTGAACAAAAGACTAAAAATCTATAGACTAATATATGCCATATAAATGACCAATCAAACTTATTCAAAAGCTGGTAGCACTGGTAAGACTGTGTATCAGTCTGATATGAGACTGGTAGCACTGGTAAGAAAATGTATCAGACTGATATGAATGTCTATAGGAACTGGTAAGACTTTGTATCAGTCGGGTACATGACTGGTACAACTTATAGGAAACTGTATCAGACTGATTCAGACCTCTGTCAGAATTTTCGCTAGGGGATATATAAGGCCACTGCCCCGATCGACAAGTTGCCACCATGTGATTGGTCGTACATGTGATTAGTTGCCAGCTCAAATGATAAGTTCTTGAAGTCAAGAGTTCGACGAAAGTTCATCTCGTCAGGTGAGCGACGAGAGACGGTCACCGACCGAATCCGATAATGTGACATTCTGGAACTGCATACGGGTTCCTTGTTCACTAAGCTGGACCAGAAGTCGTCCCCAATATTGAAGCCAGGAGGTGATGCAACGAGCGTGCGTATATAGCAGGCGTAGTTCCTGTTGTCCTATTCTTTATAGCTGGCGTTGACTGAATGATTAGATATTCTAGGGGCTGGCAGGATGACAGGTTCTTTTCCTTGGCAATGACAGTGGCATTTTTCCAGTCAATGGTGTGATTATGTTTATGCGCATGGTCAGCAATGACATTTGTCGTGTAACTGCTATTAGTGTCATGCTTGTGCTCCTTGAGGTGTAGGGGGAACTTTGCTGTTTCGCCAATGTACACTTGGTGTCCTTGTGAATGCCTTGTGTACGTTTGTACTTGAATGCCTTGTGTGTAAATAGACTTGTTTTCATCTACCCAGCAAAAGTTCACGATATGATTATGTTCTTTACAGGTGCTGTCAGTGGAGGCCATAGAAAAAATAATGAACGAAACACAAGAAGGCATTGAAAAGCAAAAGGTAAGCTGTCTCTTGTATGGCCTGTCAAGCTATGGGCGTTTTTTCACTGGTCAGTCTAGAGCCATAGTTTCCTAATAATACACTCGGGCACTAGTTTCTTTGGGAGCGGATAAGCACGGCGCTTCAGCCGGCACGGGAATGACGAGTAGCATACACGGATTTGTTTGTCCTTCTTTCTTTGGGATTCGTGTGGACTGAATCTGCTTTGCCACAAGATGAAGTTCAGCAGTGGCTTAACAGTTGCGCTTCACCTTTTCAGGCTCACAAATTCAAATTTGCACCGGAAGTTCAAAATTGTTCATTATTTTATTTCATACAAAACCAAAACACGCCAGAAACAAAGCCACAAGTCTGTTCGAAGTACGAAACTAGGCAAATCTATGTGCCACTTGTCATTCCCACAGTGGCTGAACAATTGCAGGACCCCACTTAATTTTAGTAAACTCTATGCCTGGAGCGGCAGCCGAATTTCTGGAGTTCTTCGATTAGATGAATCCAAATATGCCATTGGAAAACAGGAGTGCTCTGCAAGAAAGTACTACTACAACCAATCCCATATACATCAAACTCAAATATATGGAAATATTGGCTATATTGAAGGGTTAAGAAATCCCTCGAATTTTCCATGCAAAAGGATGGGACTGGTGCTCCCGTGCATCGAACTCCCGCACATTGGGGCATCTGCTATATCGAACGCTGGGGCACGCTGAAGCCTAGAAAGTGCATTTTTTCTAGTAAATATTGCTCAATTTTCAGCTATGTTCTAACCAGTTCTAATCCCTCTTCGCGCGCAGGTGACTAAAACGCAGTGTTATTCCATTGCACTGATGTGGTTTGTTGTGCAGCACTTGCCAGTGCGCTGTGTCAAGGGCTCGAGGTCGATGGTAGGAACGGCGGGTTCTCTTTAAGGTAGCTGGCTTCCCGTCGTCGTCCGCTTAGTCGATCTTCGTCAGTGAGGGGACGCCTTAGGAGAGGTAGAACGAAGATTTATTTACGTTATAGAAGAAAGATACGTTATGGAAGAAAGATAGGAACTGTACAGGGATCTAGAAGATCCCGCAATATGTATATCATAGATTCAGTTCATGGTTCAGCTCATGATTCCACACAAGATTCAGCGCTCTTTAGAATCATGCTTCAGCTTTTATAGCCCACCGTCACCGCCGTCCTAAGGAGGCGCTGACCACTTTTGCCACAAAGCAGGGGACGAAGTCTTTGTGGTTCACCCACAGAAAGGGTGCAGATATTGCACCACTCGGCTGGGCGAAACATTCCAAAGGCAACAGGAACGCACCACACAAAGACTTACCCGGTGCACGCCTTGAAGGCCCCGCAGGGTGAGAAGGTAAGTCCGGAAAGGAAAAGTTGAGTTCATCCGGGGAGATGGCTGCTAACCCGTACGTCAGCAGCGGTCTAAGCTGCTTTCAACTTCAGCCAGTCCAAACGCTCGATCCAGGTGAACGGCTTCTTCGATGTGTTTCCACGCTTCCGGGCTGTCGGTGCTTTGAGATGGCCTCGCGTAAATGACAAAGGCCGAATCAAGAGGTTGACTTAATGAGGCCCGCCACAGTAGCGCCGTTCTCCTGCTGTTCGAGCCTGTTCAACAAAAGGCTTGCCTCGCGAAGCTTCCGTTGAGACCCGACTCTTTCCTGGAACATCTACCGGACAACGTCTTGCAGACTGGGCTCCGATGGGGGTGAAAGCCTCCCTAGTAGACCGGCTTACGTACACTGGTGTCTGCCCAGACGAATCGCCGGGCTCAACGTAACAGCTCCTCCGCCGCCCGGAAAATCTCTGCTGGCCAGCACTCCCAACCGCTGGGCACGAAGAGAACGGCTGGTGATGAGAACGATGGCCTGGCTTGGACCCTCCAGCTGCGAACTTGTAACCCACTCCCAAACCACCTCACAATGATCGACAACAGCAAGGTGAACCACACAACACAATACCATGCTGCAGTCAAGCACATTGGACTTGCTTAAGATCCCTCCAGGCTTCTCAAGAAAACACAAACAAATTCTACTCGAAAATTTTGACAGAATTTCGTGCCGCCAAAGTTGCAACAATCGTGGATGTGGAGATGCTTACTAAAGATGAAACAAATTGCCATGTGAGAAAAGCACACAAAGGCAAATAAAATTTGGCCCCATATAACCATAAACCCACTCTTTCAAAGCTAACCTCCTACCATCCGCACTATGTTGCAACTAATACCTGCTAACTTCTCATTAACTCATTGAAACACCACTAACTATAATGATTTCACAGGAATGCTGCTTGTACCTACTCAAGGTATCTGTGCACATTCTTCATTCTCTCAATCCACACTTAAAAGGTAGTCGTGACTATCTACTTTTAGGACGCCCCGGTGCCAATGAAAACTCTCCCACAACAAATCAAACTGTGTCTTTCAACTACCTGAAACGTATCCCTAACGTTAACGTTCGCTAAAGCGCAACTTTCAGCTCAAGAGATCCCATGATCCCCAAGCACTCATTAAAATAACAAAATAAAGGGAATAATACCCCTCATACTACATGCTCATTTACTGAATGTAGCCTCATGTCAGCCCATGTTTTTAAAGAATGCACAGGACTTTGCTGTGCGCCCTAGCACGACATCATACTCTCATCCAAAGAGCGCTAGCATACCAACACGCACCTAACCATAGGGGATATCCCTATAATCTAGGCATCATTAAACATTCATCTGAACCTAAATATTCACAAAGAACAACACGCAAAGAAAACAACGTCAGATGCCGTACACATCAAGAGTGCCTAACAAAACCTGCCTAAGTTTTGTGCCAAAAACCATGTACCAAATGCTTTTCAAACATGAGCATTTCGAATACCGGTTCTGGTTTTATCCTAAAACATTCCCTATAAATGCTCATCTGCTCTTTCAAGATGGAATACAACTTCGCGTTGCACCAAAGGGCACGAGGCATACAAACTTCGGCTCCGCTCGACCAACATTAGCACGCTTTCAAATTTAGCGGATGAGCCACACTCTATTTACGACTTACGTGCCAATATATAAAAGAAAAATTTATGGCACACAGTCGGCTGACTGATGCGAGTTACTGCTTCCGCATAATGCTTAACAACTTAACTCAAAACTCTTACAATGCTTACAAAATATCTAGAAGGGAAAAAGCGTAGCAGTGGAGATGACAAAAGAATATTACTTCAAAACCAAAAATAAGCAAGCAAACATGCTTCCTTGTGAATTCCTTTGTCCCTCTCTCCAGCTTACAGCTGTCCCTCACTCTTCAATAGTACACGCGGTGGTCGCGGTTTCGGCGGATTTCGAGAGCGTCTGAGGCAACGTCGCGTATGTGCTACAAGCTGAACAGCGCAGTCACACATCATTCGCCTGCCCTTGACAGGTTCGCGGAGGGGACACGAGCATTGCGTGGGGAAGAGCGGCGATTCCCCTGTTGGGCTTGCACCCACGCAGTGCTTAGCTACTGTGGCTTTTCTTCTAGGACCACGTCGACACTCTTGTCCATGAAAAGTTCTTAATGTCTACAGCGCATTCCGTTGCGAGGATACATGCTGGGGACAACCTCTTCGCCGCATGCGCCTTACTGCACGAGCCAAAAGATTTTTCTTTGAACTAGCCCGTGACCTACACTTTTTTCTTTCGCCCCGTAGTGTGTCATCCCTTCGCATAGCCGCGCCTGTTCACCTCGCTCCTTTACGGCGATGCTTGCAACCGACCTTTCCTGCACGGTTAGTAAATTCTCTGTGGGCTGCATCATCGGCGTTTGTAAAGCTCAAGGGTGCTTCTGCACCACCTTTCACAGCACTTTGGCCGCTCGATTTTTCAGCATTGTTGCTATGTCGGCCCGATTCACTTGTGCTAAATTTGCACTCGCGAGCGCCTCTAAGTGGGCTGCCGATAGAACTGAAGTTTCGACACCTTACAGGGGAATGCAATAGAGAAAAACCCGCTTTTCTTTTCGTCCGGCGGCTCGGACGTATGCGAAGCAGTTTCGACGCTGCTGCAAAGCTCTTAGGTCTGCTTGCTACGCTGACAGGTTTCGAACCTTCTTTTACACGCATAGTGTCTTTTGTCTTTCTCGCGGCTTTCCGACGTCTCTTGCGCCGGCGCCGCTTCTTGGGACTCAATTCTGAGCTTCCGGCTAGCATCTGAAGCTCTTCAATACTCACAGCTTTCGTCAGCCGTCTCACCCGCACAGTCTAAATGATTTTCGAAAAAATTATCTCTTTCACACTCTTGACTGGCGGACAGGCTAACGTGCTTAGGAACAGTGCGGCTGTTTTCCTTCAGGCAATCTAACTCGCATGGCTCTGAGCAGTCTACAACTGTACTGTTTTCCTCACTCTCTGCATTTGCTGCTTCTCCTGAGCTTTCTCCGGTGTTCTTAATCCCTTTGACCTCATTTGCAAGGTCCATCGTTGCGACAACCACAGTTGAGGTCTGTCCCAGCTTTTCTATAGCTGTCCTAGCTGTTTCACTAGCATTCAGTGGGCACAGTACCTCGTTGCACTCACTCTGGCCTTTGTCGGCCTCTCTACTCAACGCAGCATCATTTGCAGCACTCAAACTCGATTCGTCTTTGAATCTGCTACTATTTTCACACGTGCTAGCCTTCTCTGCGGCTCTAAACTGCACCTCACTTGTTTGTTCCTCGCACTTTTTGTGCCCTACACTTGCAAATGGCTGAATCTTCCGCCGCATTGCTTCAGCTTTACGTTCCGGTAGTTCAATCTCTTCCTCTTGTTCCCTTTTTCCCTTTTCTTCTCTTTCTTTTTTCTTTCTTCGTTCCTCCAACCTTTTGAAACCTTTTAACGTGAATCCAATATACTCCTCACTGGTGTTTTGCCAAATTAGCTCTAAAATTTGTGACCTGCCCATTCCTTCCTTAATCCTAATACCTAGGTCTTTGCAATTATTTAAAAGACCATCTTTTAGCAGTGTCTTTACCTCGATGATTGCCATTGTACTTTGGTCCTGCATCTCACATAAAT